CCAGGCAAACCTCCCCTCTAAAGAGGGCTTCGGCGCGGTAGCCGGCCACTTGCATTCCTTCGTCACTCCACGAACTGCCCAGACTACGGGAATTACTAGTGTCTGAAATAGCACATATAAGACCTATTTACATATGTTCGCTGTAACGGAATTCGGCGCGGTCAAAACCACAACATTTTCTTCAGGTTGTTCAAATTCAGAACGGACGAACTGCACAGTCGCTCGATAAATCGCTGCAAGAAGAGCAATTTTCCCAAAGATACCTCGCTTATATCAATCAGCCTTCTAGCTGGACATGACGTCATGGTCTGGGTGCTACTTCAATAGTGCTGTGGACTATCGTTAACATAAAACTGGACGGGTTTCCGCTGCCGTGTAAAAACGCAATTTATCGCGCGCCATTACCGCGTATCGCTTTTCGTTACTGCAAGTGTATGTGAATGGGCCATTTCGTAACAAAGTGGGCTTCATTCACCATGGCAATGTCCTGCGAAATTTTTGTTTAAAAATTGTGGTATTTCGTGTTATCTTTTGTGCACAATTACGTTATCACAGGGTTGACGTGCAGTCACGCTTTTCATTTAAATTCTTCAATGCGAATGCTACGCGTAGAAGTTAGAGGCGACGCTTCCCCGTTGTTAAGCCAGATGTGTGTACTCGAAGGCTTGACATATTGTCTACAGAAACAAATTGAATTGACACTTTCCGACCTTAACCTTGATTGCTCTCGCTTCCAAGCAGACTATTTTTTAAAGTATTCGAAGATTTACCTTGGGAGCAAACAAGGTTCACACATGGAGGAAAGACACAGAAGGAGTTTGAACTGCCCGGGCCATAACATCTGGCCAATGACCGCTTTCTGGCATGCCCTCAGATCGCTGCTGCAATTTTTCGCTGGTAATCACTACCCTTAAAACTTTGTGTACTGAGATATAGGAAACTGAATATTCATGTTTTGGTTGGCGCTTGGTGTGATCTCACAACATCAAATTTAACACTTACGCAATTGCTTGCGTCAGGCCATGTGCCCTAAATGTTCATTTGCAGTTCTTGCCCTTCTCGAACGCTTTCATGTGGAGTTATTTTGGGAACAAATTGTCAAGTTGTTTTTAAGATCAGTTTGTTTTATTTGATTCATTTTTATTACGTCCTTTACACAGAATTTTAATTTAAGAGATCTCATGATCACTTCTTGTGATGAAGATCATTTTGTCCGTTATAAACTTAGCTTTCCAGGGGTGGTCACCATGTTGTTGGCCAGTCTTAGCCAAATTCGTACCAAGTCTTCGAAAACTGATGCTTTGGAGGGACAAATATTAAAATTACAAATATTTCGTGGATAGTGCAACAGTGTAGCAAAGCTGATTCGCGATTTTTAAAATTCTTTTCTCTGTTTCCCGGTCACAGCGATACGTTGTAATTAATTACAAGCAAGACACCACAAAATGTCGCTTGGATATTACTGGCCCTCTTGTCCAGCTAAGCTGAAGTCAGTAAAGGGAATTCTTGGACTGCTTTCTATGATGAAGTTTTGTCTCACCGGGCCGCGACCGTGCACTTTCAAGTGCCAGGGTTTTAACTCTTGCGTTCTTCCTCCAAGTTTCACACAAGATTCAGTGCAGTATTTCAGTTATACTCAACAAAATACTTTTCTTACGATAGGCCTATAAACTCTCGAAAGTTAGAAAATGATGTGAAATCCGCAAGACTGAAACTTCATTGGTTACAACGGAAACAGTGTTTTCTAAAAGTGGACATTATTCATTCGTTGTTGGCCTGGAAGGCACGATATTCTTGTCTCTGGTGACAATAATGTGATCAGCAAATAAAACATCGCTATACCGGCTTGGACTGCCTTCATACTGAAGCATACCATTTGGGTATCTAAAAAAGAAGAACACAGTCCACACAAAATTTACACCGGGATATGACAATCTATTGAAAAAATTACCATATGGAATACATAAACGTTAATTTTGAATGTAATGTAATGGAAACGCATATTTTGTTTGGATAGGTTCTACATACAATGCAATAAAGTGACCGCCATAAACATAATATTTTATGTTACCGAAATGCTAAGAATATGTGATCCGTGAAACGTGTTCAAATTCAACCTTTGATTCTATTTTCATTTAACTAAAGGCAACATAGGCCAGTACATCTTACATGTACATTACTTCAAATTGAGAATAGCAAAAAAAAATGAAATTTAACTGAAATAAATTTACTGCAGAAATATCACACCCATATTTCAAATGGCAACATTATTATGCAGAGAAATCAACCGACAGTTTAAAACCAATACCGATAGAAAGAAATTTTTCCATAAATTTCGCGAAAAATTAATAGATCTAAATGCAACCATCAAAACGCATTCAATGTCGTGTGTCCTCCAAGGATCCTGCAAAGTTCACAGAATCTAAAGAGGAACAAAACGCAGTACAAAACATAAATCCAGAAACATTTTCACTTTGATTTTCCTGAACAAATTCCCGACATTTGACCGGTGAGTTATTCATTATGTTTTTACTGAATTTATCGACCAAAAGCACACGGGGCTGCACCACCATGATACGTCACATTACATTTCAAAATTACGACAAATCCTTTAGGATGAATATGTTGAAACTCTCAACTAATCTTGTTATTTCTCTCCCTTTTTAACAGGGCTTTACCTAAGACACTAAATACTAGAGCTTCTAAGCGGGAATCGCTCACAAATCAATGGAATTTTCACTCCTGCGTTCTATGCCAGAAGCGAAACTATAGTTCTGTTTATATAAGTTAATTGAACTCTTCGTTGAGGAACAACTCGCTGTTATTAAAAAGCACCCCTAAGGAAAACATGTTTTCTCTGATTTTATCTGTTCAAATAAATATGGAAGCATCCAAATCGAACGCAGTGTCATTTTTCTTCAAAGCTCAATTATAACAAACGAAAAAGGGCTTTTTTTGTTAGTGGCAAGATGCAAATTTTGAATGCAGATTGCGTCATTGAGGAGAAAACAGAAAAATCGAGGAGAACCCTTACCCTGTGTTGATGGATAAACCCTTGTGCAGATAATTTGAACAGATAAAAATCAGAAAAAACACGTTTTCCCTAGAGGTGCTCTGCCCTGTTGCTTGATTATGAACATTGAGTGAAAGAATTTGAGATAGCGACTGGGTCAATTTAATACGCCTCTTTTTCTGCGTTAGTACACTCACCCTGGTGCTGATTCGAATCCGTTCTCTTTCGACTCTCCCCGTTTAATCTGGTGAGAGCAATAAAAATTGAAAATACATGATTGTACAAAGTCATCAGCTGTTGACAAACAGACCTGAGGAAATAATGACGTCATGCTATGTTCAAATGTGCGCTTTCCTATGGGGATTCAAAGTTGGTGTATCCAACGTCACAACCATAGGAAAGCACGCATAAAAGCTTGAGTCATTTCTTGGTCTATTGACGGTGAGTTGTATCCCCTACGCACCAGTGTCATGGCCAAAGGGGGTAAGGAGGCAAGGGAAACTTCCTCTCCCTCTGACAAATTGGGCTTTTGGATGAACAGGGGGAGCTGCCACCACCTTATCGGTACTATATTGATATGCGTTCCTTCTGTGTAGACACAGAACCATCATAAAAAGAGGGTTCTTGAAAGAACTGCACATTATATAAAATTGGTGGCAAAGCGTAACGAGGGAAGATGGCAGAGTTGTAGACTCGATTCACTTGACTTGGACTCCGCTCACCATTTTTTTGTGACTCGTGACTTGACTTGTAACTACCAAATTTTGGCCTGTGACTTGCAGTGGCGTAACTACAGGGGGGCGGACGGGGGCACGTGCCCCCCCCCCCCAACGGAGGCCCGTGCCCCCCGGGTCCCCCCTGGAAATTTTGAAATGGACATTTACGCCCATTTACGTAGGTGGGCGTTCAGACAGGCATCTAGTTCAATTATTTTCAGTGCCCCCTGAAAAGAAAATGTGCACCCTAAGGTGCCCCCCTCAGCTGTAGCACCCTAGTTACGCCACTGGTGACTTGACTTTGACCAAGTGACTTGAGCAAATGACACTTGTCTGAGAGTTGATAAGACAGGCAAAATGTATGTTAAGTGAATGAACAATGCTACTTACCGCTACCACTGCCAGGCTTTCGGCTTCGCTTACCTGCAAACAGAGAAAAGTCTCTCAGTTTAGCGTATAATAACGATATACAAGTGTTGTCTATTTTCTACTGCAGGGGTTGGATGCTCTTATGCAGGGATATTTTCCCTTCATTTCGTAGAAAATAAAATGTCACAAATATGTTAACGGTAAGAAGAATCTTGAACTTACGTTTCTTGCGGTACTTCTGGCCAGCTGAAAATAGCAATTACGAGACAAATTTTAAAGACTGAAAACCTTGAATAAAGCAGCACAATACCATGACGAAATTGAGGCAGGTTTGGACAACATGAAGTAAGCAACAATAGAATCTTTTTACTCTCCTTTTCACATGTATGCTGCAATGATCGACTTCAAGCAACGAACGTGAAGTTCAATTTTTAATTCCACTTTTGTTTGGTACATTTTGCAATTACTTGTCGTAAAAGATCAGAATTCTTAGTAGATAGCAGAGGAAAAACAGAAGAAGAGTTAGTTGTAGGAAGTTCACGCTGATTGGAAGGGGGAGGTTGACACAAGACTTTTAGACATAAAAGAAAAGGAATTTCTGAGTTATTTAACAAACTTTCATTACAACCTAGGAAATACAGGGTTAAAATAACGACATCCATCCACCAACAGAGTAAATTAAAGAAGGATGCTGTTTACAGTTGGAGTTCATATCAATAGAAATTTTTACTTAAAATATACAAACGGACTCACTTTTCTTGTACTTCTTTCTTCTGGGGGAACCTGAAAATGAGACAAAAATGTCCAGATCTCTCTCACAAATTATTGAAAATATAACTGAAGTAGTGAAACTACCTATACAATAAAAGTTCATGCATTTGTACTCATCACAGCCGGCTGTGATGAGTACAAATGGCTTGTTGTACAAAAGTTTGAGCAATCACCAATGTATAATATCTTGTTAGTTTTTATCGCGAAGCCAAACTCCGATTCTTTGTCGTAATCTAAAAGGCTCCACTATAGCTGCCCTTATTAGTTCTTAAGTTAACAGATGCGTCTTGGTAATTATTCAGAGTGAACAAGTTATAATAACCTTGTAACAAATTTAATATGAAGAGAAGCATTAACCTAGAAACTAAACTTAAAAGAAGAAGTCAGTCATGTCCGAAACATTTTTAGTCAAAGCACAAATACGACTCACTTTTCTTGAACTTCCTCCCTTTAGAGGAGCCAGAAAATAAAATAATAAGAAAGTCCAGATCGTCCTTAAAAAAGTATCTGAACGAGAAACCGTATTACGGCTACAAAGACAGTAATAGCCAAACGGCACATCTGCACAACTCCAGGATTATCCTAACACCACGTATAACGGACTGCCGCAAAGCAATATCGGTATTTGCTGATGTACAAATCTTATCAATTTCAATCAGCTCGGTCGCATTTCACCCTGTGGTACAGTTTCGTTCTATAAGATTTCTCACTTCAGTTTGCAAAACTGCAGTTCTTAAGTCATGGTATTCAAGTATAGTTGAAAAGCATTGCTTCAAAGTGACAAACTAAGATATATAATTACTGCAGTAGACTGCAGTGTGGCATGACTATCACAAATATTTCATTGAAAAGATGTAACTCACAGGAAAATGAGTACTCGCAACTCTCTTTTGAAACTCCCTACGTAACGGAAATTGGAATTAATGAAACTGTCAAACTCACTACTGCCTCTCGCCTTCTTCACATAGGATTCCATAAAATATTAAAAGAAATGGACTCAATATCATTATGATTTATATTGGAAACACGCTTTGCAAGTCCAAACGTCATAGAAACGTTTCATATTGTAGGGAAAGAGCAGTGATTCCGCTTCACTAGTAAATAAATTTGAATCTTTATCTTAAAGTAAAGACAAGGGTAAGAAATTAACACAATGAGAAACACATTATGCCAATACTTAGATTTGAAACCAAGTCAGTAATTGGCCGGATGTAGTTCACTTTCCTCGAGATGTACGCATTTAAGTGGTCATTAATGAGGGTTGTTTTCAAGCAAATTGAGATTTCCACCCCTTTTGTCTCTCTTCTTTCAGTTTTTTTCTTTTCCACTAAAACAAAATCAAATTTCAAAATTTGTTACATGAAATATCTTAATGTTGGTCTTTGAGTAGCCTGGATTTCCTCTAGGCTTGTTCAACTTACACGTATTACTGCAAAGTCGATTATACAAACAGGTTATGGCTAAGCTAAGTGCGTCAATAATGCTTATTATACCTATGGTAAAAGACTCCCAATATCAAAAATAACTGCTAGCTGTGCACTGTGTAGTACAGCAAGGGATAATATCAAAAATTCGAATCCTTGATGCGCCACTGCCTTCATGGAAGAAGGGAACGGCGCAGAAAATACTCAATGAAAACTTCACGCATTATTCAGTCCCGTGAGGTTGGTTTATTTTGTTCACGTTTTGCATTGCGTTAGCTTTAGTGAAAGTGGCAGCTCAAGCTTTGCATGAACGAGACGGAAACCCTCTTGACATCCTTAAAAACGGCAATATAGGCCTATGCCATGTTTCCGCCCCCACGTTAAATCCCATGCGCTCGTATACGTATTCACCACTAGTCTCTTTTCAAGTGTGAAATAGTACCACAACAGCAAAAACCTTAGGCTATGGTATAAATAAAAAAAACACGCGTGCGGTTCGGCGTGCAGTTTGATAACACGCGGGAACGGCCACGCAACCCCCCCATGTGGGTATCCAGCGGTGCCCAATTACCGACTTGAACAATCTCCAAGCCCTTTTGTGCACAACATAGGCCTATCATGGGGCCTGCTACCAAAACTGGACGGAGAACTCTGATTGGGTAAGAATCCTGATTATATGAATATTTATTTATAGGAACAGTTTGATTGGTCAGTTGAAAGTTTATTACCAACAACCGCAGTCATTTAGAAGGAAGAATTCTCGAAGTTAAGATATAAATATATATCAATGTTAAACTCGCATCACCGATGGTACCAGCTTTAAAGTTGAAAACTGATTCAATTTCCAGTGTCCACAAAACGTCTTTCCTCTGACAGGAAAAAAATAGGGATCTTTATTCACATAATTTTTGCGTGTATAGCCTCTTGCAGTAAACCCTGAATTGAAGAATTCCAACCACCAATAAACGCCAAAGTATTATAAAGAAACATCTTGTTGAGAGACATTGCTTCTACTTATAAGTTCAAAATGATCGGGATACAGAGGTTAGGTGGAACAGAAGGTTTTCTGAAAGAGAAAAAATTCCTGTCACTTTTATATACATCTGAACTGCACCCTCAGGAAAAAATAGTATAAATATTGAGATAGCCATACATCTAGAGGGTACCATTGAATGTCCAAAACAGTTCCATTGACAAATATCACTCACTTTTCTTGTACTTCTTCTTTCTGGAGGAGCCTGAAAGAAAAATGAAAAGATATCCATATCTCAACCACAAATCACTTGAAATTCAAATCTTAAATACAACTACCAACGCAGTAAAAAGGTCGTTCATTTGATATCCTAACAACTTTCTCAACTACAAATCACTTGAAATTCAAAACTTAAATGCAACTACCAAACAGAGTAAAAAGTTCGTTCATTTGACATCCTAGCAACTTTTGTTATGGCTTGTCATACAATAACTGAATCAATCACCCATCTTCCAAACTCTGCTATGATCCCACAAAATGAGTCTTTGTCTAAGTTAAAAATGTTTCATTTCAGTTGCCAGTGTCAGTTCTTAACGGGTCCTTTAAGGTAAATAATTGTTTCAGTTAAGGTAATAAAGTTATAGAATCACCGCAAAGGGCTAGCGTGGAGAAAAATCAGCAAATGATGAAACTCCGAAGGAAATAGGTGTTTAAGTTCTAGTTTAAAATTACTTGAGCAACAGAAATTGGAATTATAAAATTTTATTGAAAAATTGATTAAACTGCCAAACTCACTACTGCCTTTCGTCTTCTTCACATAGGATTCTATAAAATATAAGAAATTGACTCGATCTTGAAATCATTCATATTTGAAAAACGCCTTGCAAGTCGAAACGTCAAAGAAATGTTTTAATAATAGAATAAGAGCAGTGATTCTGCTTCACTAGTAAATAAATTTGAATTGTTCACTCAAATTCAAGACAAATGTGAAAAAATTATCAAAAAAAGAAAAACATTATGTCAATACCATATTTCTTTCCCCTTAAAACTGATCTCTGTCGTGCAGCCAAAATTACATGAAAGTTTTCTTTCATTTGCTATGGTTAGATTTCGCATTTGGAATAAAAAAGTGCTCGGAATAAGTATCAAAAGAATTCTTGAATTTAAGGTATAAATATATATCACTTGCATCACAAACAGTAACAGTTCAAAGGTGAAAAATGATTCAACCTGAAGTGTTCACAAACATATCTTTCCACCGAAAGTATTAAAAAAAGTTGGGTTCTTTATTCACCTAATTTTTGCGTGCTTAAGCTATCGCAGTAAATCTTGAATGGAAGAATTCCAACCAGCAATAAACGTCAAAGTATTATAAAAACATCTTGTCGAGAGACATTGCTTCTACTAATAAGTCCAAAAGGATGGGGATACAGAGGTTAAGATGGAACAGAAGGTTTCCCGAAAGAGAAAAAAAATCATTTCAATTTTGTATACATTTGGAGGAACTCTCAGGGCAAAATGGTATAAACATCGAGATAGCCATACATCTAGAGGGTACCATTGAATGTCCAAAACAGTTCGATTCACAAATATCACTCACTTTTCTTGTACTTCTTCTTTCTGGAGGAGCCTGAAAGAAAAATGAAAAAATATCCATATCTCAACTACAAATCACTTGAAATTCAAATCTTAAATACAACTACCAACGCAGTAAAAAGGTCGTTCATTTGATATCCTAACAACTATCTCAACTACAAATCACTTGAAATTCAAACATTAAATACAACTATCAACACAGTAAAAAGATCGTTAATTT